CCTCAACCTGCTGGGGTCCGGCGATCCTTCCGCCTCAGCCAACCGAGTAGCTGGAACTATAGGTGCGCACTACCACGCCCGGCTAATTTTTGATTTTATTGTAGAGATGAGGTCTTGCCAAGTTGCCAGGCGGGTCTCGAACCCGCAGGCTCAGGCAATCCACTCACCTCAGCCTCCCAAATTGCTGGGATTACAGGCTGAGCCACCAAGCCCAGCTTAGAGGAATTTCTTAAACCTAAAGACTCAATTGTCAAATCTGTGAACTCTGGATCTGATTTTAGCCTTGGGAACCAAAGAGGACAATGTTCGAAAGCTCAACTGTCTGGATTATGTGGATGATTCAATGAGTTCTCTTCTGCTTCTGAGTCTGTTGGCCAGGAGACCTGGATATGGTAGGGCTTCAGTTCCTGAGGAGGTACAGAATCTGGGGCACTGCTCATGAGGTCATGTCCCCGGAAGGATTTTGGGAAGGCTATGACATCTCTGATGCTTGGAGCTCCAATGACAAGGCACATCAGTCTGTCTAACCCTGTGATAAAATACAAAGATACCAGATGAGAAATGTGATTTAATGTTGATTTAGTTTTTCTATCAAAATTGTAGAGAACTTTAAAAAAGACTCTATAGCAAGCTGCAGTCAACCATAGTTCTCTATCTTTTTAGAGAACTTTTGTTTGTTTGACAGCTTATTTTCTATCTCATTCTGGGAAGTTGTTTAGGACTAATGTTCACATGCTACTAGAATTAATTGTCACAACAATTAGCAAGTTCCTAACAAAGGCTTAAGGCCCCAATAAAGGTTGAGCAATATATTACGTACTCTGCAGGGAACTCCAAAAACATAGATGGAAGTCCCTGTTATTGAGAGCCCACAATCTAGGTGAGCTTCCTAGAATTTCTTACTTTTCCTTGCTTGATAAAATGAGCATGGTAATTAGAAGAACACTGGCATACATCTATTTCCATACAAGCTGAATACTATGGAGCAGTGCTTTCCAGACTCCAGTGAATATGTCTGTGAGGTCTCAGGGATTTGAGCAATACTGACTTAATTAGTTTTAGTCTTTGAGAAAATCCATCGACTGCAAATGGTCAGTTAAGTTTTATCTTTAAAACTGGTAAAATATATTTTAAAAACATATTACTGAAATTAAGACAGAAACTTAAATTCTCATAGAACTCTTGGACTTATCTCCCCACCTCCAACACCATAAGTTGAGAACCCAAATTTGAGATACAGTACTATGGACTGCCATTTAGTTTATAAAAGGACAAGCTGGCCAGGCACAGTGGCTCATGCCTGTAATTCCAGCACTTTGGGAGGCCAAGGTGAGACGATTGCCTGAGCTCAGGGGTTCGAGACCAGCCTGGGCAACTTGGTGAGACCTCGTCTTTACAATAAATCAAAAAATTAGCTGGGTGTAGTAGCATGCCTGTAGTTCCAGCTCCTTGGAAGGCTGAGGTGGAAGGATCACCGGAGCCCAGCAGGTCGACACTGGGGTGGCTGTGAGTGTGCCACTAAGCTCCAGTCGGGGTGACAGAGTGAGACTCTGACTCAAAATAAAATAAAATAAAAGGACAAACTGCTTACCTAAAGCAATTCCTCCATGAGGGGGCGCCCCATAATCTAAAGCCTGGAGCAGATGGGAGAGCAATTTCACATCTTCCTGTAATTCAAAAAGTAATACAGTTTACATACTGAAGGTCCACTAAGTGCCATACACTAGGTAAGTTAATAAATACCTTAAGATGACTTAACTAATAATAAAAACTCATTGGGAAATTGTAAAAAGAAAATACTTTAAGAAGTTAAGAATTTAGCAAGAAAATAAGACAAGTCACGTGACAAATGACATACCATGTAGAAAATGCCAAGCCGGGCTCGGTGGCTCAGCCTGTAATCCCATGCCTTTGGGAGGCTGAGGAGAGTGGATTGCCTGAGCCCACGGATTCGAGACCCGCCTGGGCAGGTGAGACATCATGTCTACAATAAATCAAAAAATTAGCCGGGCATGGTAGTGTGCGCCTATAATTCCGGCTACTCGGAAGGCTGAGGCGGAAGGATCGCCAGAGCTCAGCAGGTCGAGGCTGCGGTGGCCGGGAGCGGCCACTGCACTCCAGTCTCGGCGACACAGTGAGACGGCAACTCAAAAAAAATAAATAAATAAAATGCCTAGTACAGCTATTACTGTACTGATAAGGTAAACACAGTAACCAATCAAGGTCTTCCTGAGATGTAGACTCACAAAAGGAGGATAACAAAGAGGAAACTGCTCTGTCACAGAGACCAAAGGAAGAAAACATTAGTAGGAGGGCAACACTGTTAAATACCACTGGGAGTCTGGAGAGCTTAATGACCAAGAATAGACACTGGATTTGATGACCATGCAAGTAACTTTTGCAGGGCAGTATGTGTAGAAATATTGAAAGTGTGTTTGGAAATGGTTCTCCAACCAGGCTACAAATCTGATTCAAGTGAGGAGCTTCAAACAAACATGCTATAGCCTTATACTTAGAGCTTTTTCTTTAGTTGGTCTATGAGGGAAAAGTGGTTTTTGCTTTTTGGTTTTTTTGAGTTGGAGTCTCACTCTGTCACCCAGGCTGGAGGACAGTGGCACGCTCATGGCCACCACAGCTTCAACCTACTGGGCTCAGGCGATCCTTCCACCTCAGCCTTCCAAGTAGCTGGAACTACAGGCACATGCTACCGTGCCTGGCTAATTTTTTGATTTATTGTAGAAATGAGGTCTCACCAAGTTTCCAACCTCTCTCATTCTATGACATCAGCACTTTTATTCACTTTAGACTATATTGTTTTTATGAGCAGTGTAGTGGTTAGAAGCTTGGGCTCAAGAACCACTCTGCCTGGATTTAAATCCTGGCTCTGCTTCCTTCTGTATGATTTACTTTCTTCTCTTTAAAATAGGCAGGACAATTTATCTCATAAAGTAATTGTGGTGATTAAATGTATTAATGCATATAAAGTAGTTAAACAGTGCCTGGCAGTAGTAAACACTAATAATCACTATTATTAGTATTTGTTTTGTTTTGTTTTTGTCACAGAGTCTCACTCTGTCTCCCAGGCTGGAGTGCAGTGGCACACTAGCAGCCACCATAGCCTTGACCTGCTGGGCTCTGGCGATCCTTCTGCTTCAGCCTTCCAAGTAGCTGGAACTGTGTGCGTGCGCCACCATGCCCAGCTAATTTTTTGATTTATTGTAGAGATGAGGTGTTGCCAAGTTGCCCAGGCTGGTCTCGAACCCCTGAGCTCCGGCAATCCTTTTGCTTCCACCTCCCAAATTGCTGGGAGGCGGAGCACTCCAGGCACTAGCTACTGCACCTGGCTTAATATTTACTTTTGCAAGCCGTACACTAAAGGTAGATAACCTAACATTATTCTATATCTCATGAATCTTCCATTCATAACACGTTTAACAAAACTAACAAAATTCTGGTAAGAAAGTAAGTCCAGGTTAGAGGATGATGTATTTGTTACCTGTAGTAACGTGGCCAGGATGTAGTGCTGTAGCTCTGCATCATGAATTCGGATAGAGCCGCCTCCTATCTCACTGCCATTTAAAACTAAGTCATAGTGTTGGCTACGGGCCTAGAAGACACACAGAGATTTTATGTTAGAGAACAATGCTGATTTTCTGCTCAAAGGGTTGAGGACAGTGTTGCTTCTTAGAGACAATGTATTAATTAGTGGTAAACCCCACAGTTTACTCTGGGACTGGCAGAACTGTGTCCTGTCTATTGTCAGACTGAAATCTGAAGTTCTCTGCCTTCATTGACACATGTCTTTCTTATCTAGAAGTACAGATATGGTACCTTTTCAGGCTCACTGTAGAGGAGGTGAATGTCACTGGGGTGGGGAGCAGTAAATGGGTGGTGGGCAGACTCTAGCTCTCTGGGATTTTCCTCCTTGGACAGGAAAAGTGGGAAATCCACCACCCAAAGGAAAGAGAACAGAGCTGGGTTACGGAGCACCACTCCTCTTGCTTCTAGAAGGTCAGCAAATTCCAGGCGTAATTTTCCTAACAAAGAGCACTGCAAACAGAAAACAAACACTGAGTTAACTTCTTGACAGAGCTGGCAGCAAATGACACAACTTAATCTGAGGCCAGGCCACTGTTGGATAAAGGATTAGCCAATTAACAGATGTGACCACCCGCTACCTCCAGGAGACAAAGATTGGAGGATGCTCTGACTACAACACAGTTGAGAACAACTTCAGACTCAGCCAACTGGGTGAGTACCCAATAACACAGTGGTTCAGCACACAATCAGTTTCATAGACCTCAGTCTGAATTTCAGTGTAGACAATTACTACTTTCTCTGTACCCTTTCCCATTATAAGATGGGGATAAAATACTGCAAAAGAGTGTTGAGAGGCTTATGTGAGATAAGATCTGTACGGTGTGGGACCTGATGAAGTGTGTGAATGGTAGCTGTTCTGTTATTTCCTCTTGCTCCTGAAGGGCTGTGGTAGGGATATGATGAGTGCCTGGCACACAGTTCATATTCAGTTAAGGCTGGATATTATTACAGGCAGGCAATATAGATTAGAGGTTCATTTAAGAGTGTGAATTTTGGAACCAGACTTCGTGGTTAGAAATCTGGCTCTTGGAACACGCAGAGACCAGAAAACAAAGCCATATGGGGAAATCCCGGTCCCCCATCATCCACCCTGCACCAGGTTCGCACAGGAACTGAAGCACTGCCTGGTGAATAAGAGTGGGTGAGTGTACCTAAGATGCTTTGGGTCTGTTCACCCATTCCTAGCTGTAAGTCAATGATCCCATGCAGGAGGAGTCCAGGTCAGGGCACACAGTGGGCAACTGTGGACCCAAAGCAAAACAGGGAGAAAAAAACATGCTGGGTTAGCAGGTGTGAACGCAGCTTCCGCCAGCAGGACTGGCTCCCAGGCAGGGAAAGCCCACCTACAGATGAGCCCGGCCCATCTTCCCAACCAGATCAGGAAGAACCGCTTCCAGGCCCTGTGTGCCTACAGAGCACATCCCCTCCTTTCTTCCCCATGGCAAGAAAATTGCTCTTTTTCTTTCTTTTTTTTTTGAATTGGAGTCTCACTCCGTCACCCAGGTTGGAGTGCAGTGATACACCACCCCAGCGTCAACCTGCTGGGCTCCAGCAATCCTTCCACCTCACCCTTCCAGGTAGCTGGAACTACAGGTGCATGCTACAACACCCAGCTAATTTTTTTATTTATTGTAGAGACGAGGTCTTACCATGTTGCCCAGGCTGGTCTCAAACCCATGGGCTCAGGCAATCCTCTCGCCTCAGCCCCCAAAAGTGCTGGGATTACAGGCTTAAGCTACCATGTCCTGCCAAAAATTGCTCTTTTTGAAGAGCAAAGTGTGGACTTGAACAGGGAGGAAGCGACAGGAAAGACATCTGAAGGATTTCCCCACGGAAAGGCTGCTGGGCTACAGACTGCAGAGGTGGCTGTGGCAGGAGGAGCATTCCCCCCACCCACTCTCAGAGTGCTAGCAGCAGGGGCTGTTATAGTTGAGAAACCTGCCACATGGCCAAGCAAGGAGAACAACTGCATGCCCTTCCCCCTCTCACCGAGTGACCTATATTGAACCACAGAAAAGGCCCTAGAACAGTGACCAGCTTCAGAGGAACAAAACCAAAAGGAATTATAAAGAGGGAAGAGAGGTCTGTCACAAATGAGGAAAAAACAATGAAAAAATATAGGCAACCCTCAGAGTACTAAAGAGATAGTACCCAAAAAAACTCTATAATAAATCAAAAAATTAGCCAGTTGTGGTGGCATGTGCCTGTAGTTCCAGCTACTTGGAAGGCTGACATGGAAGGATCACCTGGGCCCAGCAGGTTGAGGCTGTGGTGGGCATGAGTGTGCCACTGCACTCCAGCCTGTGTGACAGAGTGAGACTCTGACTCAAAAAAAAAAAAAAAAAAAAAGAACCAAATAAAAAGCACAATCCCATTCATAATAGCCACAAAAATGAAATACCTTAGCGTTCACTTTAGAAGTGAAAGACTTTTACAATGAGAACTACAAAATGCTGTTCAAAGAAATCAAGGGTGATATAAACAAATGGAAAAACATTCCAAGCTCATGGTTTGGAAGAATCAATATTGTCAAGATGTCCATTCTACCCAAGGCAATCTACAGATTCAATGCAATATCCATCAAATTACCAACATGATTTTTTTTTTGAGTTGAAGTCTCACTCTGGCCACTGCAGCCTCAACCTGCTGGGTTTCAGCGATCCTTCCGCCTCAGCCTTCCAAGTAGACGGAATTACAGGCATGCGCTACCATGCCCTGCTGATTTTTTTATTTATTGTAGAGATGAGGTTTCGCTGCCCAGGCGGGTCTTGAACCCGCGGGCTCAGGCACTCCACTCACCTCAGCCTCCCAAAGGCACGGGATTACAGGCTGAGCCACCGAGCCCGGCTGATTTTTTTTTTTGAGTTGGAGTCTCACTCCCATCACCCAGGCTGGAGTATAGGTACGACTACTCCAGCGTCGATCTGGGCTCTGGCGATCCTTCTGCCTCAGCCTTCCAGGTAGCTGGAACTACAGGCGCTCGTTACCACGCCCGGCTAACCAACATGATCTTTTTCAGGCCTAGAAATGACAATACAGAAATTTGTATGGGAACAGAAAAGAGCACAAATAGTCAAAACAATCCTCAGAAGGAGGGGGAAAAAAAAGCAGGAGGTAGAAAAGCTGGAAGTATCACATGTCCAGACTTGAAACTTCATTACAAGGCTACAGTAACTAAAACAGCCTGGCATTAGTATAAGAATAGGCACATAGACCAAAGGAACAGGACAGAGATTCTGAAAGCAAAAACATATTCTCTCAACCAACTCATCTTTGACAAAGCCACCAATAACAATCACTGGGAAAAGGAGACCATATTTAGCAAATGGTTCTGGGAAAAGTGGCTGACCACACGCTGAAGATTATCACCATATACAAAAATTAACTCCAAATGGATTAATGACCTAAATATAAAACCTCAAACTATGAGACTCTCAGAAGACAATTTAGGGGACACCCTTATGCACACTGGAAAAGGCAATGAATTCTTGACCAGGTCCCCAAAAACAAATACCATAACAGCTGAGACAGACAAGTGGGACCTCTTCAAACTGAAAAGCTTTTGCATAGCAAAAGAAACCACCGAGAAAGTAAAGAGAAAACCCACAGAATGGGAAAAAATATTTGCAAATTATGCATCTGACAAAGGCCTCTGACATCCAGGATCTACAAGGAACTCAAATGAAGTGAAAGGAAAAAAAAATCCCATTAAAAAGTAGGCAAAGAGCCCAGCGTGGTGGCTCATATCTGTAATCCCAGCACTTTGGGAGGCAGAGGTGAGAGGACTGCTTGACAAGTCCATGGGTTTGAGATCATTCTAGGCAACAAGGCGAGACCTCATCTCTAAAATAAATAAATAAATAAATAAATAAATAAAGCTGGGCATGGTGGCACACGCCTGTGGTTCCGGCTACTTGGGAGGCTGAGGCGGAAGGATTGCCTGACCCCAGCAGGTCGAGGCTGCAGTGACCATGAGAATGCCACTGCACTCCAGCCTAGGAGACCGAGTGAGATTCTGACTCTAAATAAATAAATAAATACATAAATAAAAAAGTGGACAAAGGACATGAACAGACACTTCTCAAAGGAAGACATTCAAACGGCCAACAGATGCATGAAAAAACGGTCAGCCTCACTCATCATCAGAGAAATGCAAATCAAAACTACAATGAGATACCACCCAACTCCAGCAAGGATGGCCATCATTAATAAACAAAAAAACAATAGATGCTGACACAAATGCCAAGAAAAGGGAATGCTTCTACACTGTTGGTGGGTATGTAAGCTAGTTTAACCTGTATCGAAAGCAGCATGGCAATTTCTAAAAGAACTAAAAATTGACCTTCCATATGACCCAGCAATCCCTCTCCTGGGAATATACTTAGAGGAATATAAAACACTCTACAAAAAAAGACCTGTACACACGTTTACTGCTATACATATTCACAATAGCAATAACATGGAACCAACCCTACTGCCCACTGAAAGTAGACTAGATAAAGAAAATTGGTATATATACACGATGGAGTATTACACAACCATAAAGAACAAAATCGCCGGGCGTGGTGGCTCAAGCCTATAATCCCAGAGCTTTGGGAGACCAAGGCGAGAGGACTGACTAAGCCCAGGGGATCAAGACCAGCCTGGGCAACTTGGTGAGACCTTGTCTCTACAATAAGTCAAAAAATTAGCTGGGCATAGTAGCATGCACCTGTAGTTCCAGCTACTTGGAAGGCTGAGGCGGAAGGATTGCCTGAGCCCAGCAGGTCGAGGCTGTGGTGGCCGTGAGTGTGCCACTGCACTCCAGCTTGGACAAGAGTGAGACCAGCCTGGGCAACATGGTAAGACCTTGTCTCTACAATAAGTCAAAAATTAGCTGGGCATGGTAGCATGTGCTTGTAGTTCTGGCTACTTGGAAGGCTGAGGCAGAAGGATTGCTGGAGCACAGCAGGTTGATGCTGGGGTGGCTGTGAGTGTGTCACTGCACTCCAGCTTGGACAACAGAGTGAGACTTCAACTCAAAAAAATAAAAATAACAAAATCATGGACTTCACAGCAAATTGGATGCAGCTGGAGACCATCATACTAAGTAACTATCACAGAAACAAAGATCTGAATATAATGTGTTCTCACTCATAAGCGGGCCCTGAACACTAATCATATTAGCACAAGCGAGGGATCAGCTGTCATTGAGCACTGCTAAGAGAGGGAGGGAAGAGAGAGAGTAGGGGACACACGACAAAGTATGTGGTTTATTACCAGGAGTGAGGGCCAGTTAGAAGCCCAAACTTCAGCTGGATGTAGCCTACTATGTAATTAATCCTCATTTGTACCCCACATTCCTATAATAATATAAAAATTTTTTAAAAAAAGAAATCTAGCACTTCCACGCTGTGTGATTGTGAGCAAAAACTGAACCTCTGTTCCTCAGTTTTCTTATTTTATTATTATTATTTTTTGAGTTAGCATCTCATTCTGTCACCTAGGCTAGAGTGCATTGGCACGCTCATAGCCAATGCAACCTTGAACTGTTGGGCTCAGGCAATACTTCCACCTCACCAGTTTTATTTTTAAATTAGCAACAATATCAGTACTTCTCTCATAGAGTCGGCATGAGAATTAAATGAGTTAATGTATACAAAATGCTTAGAACAGAGCTTGGCAATCAAGAAGTGCTTAATGAGCGCAATTAGCACTAGCAGCTGTGGCTATGGAGGTAATTTTCCTTACTGCTTTCTTGTGATCTCCAACAGTTAGTAGTTTAGTTCACTGTAATCAGAAGTGTCAGGATGCTGATGGTAACTACTCTGAGCACCTCTTGTAACTGCAGAAGTCAAATGTGACCTGTATTCATCTTTTGTTATAGGTATATATTGAGTATTACAATTTTAATACCTTTTTTTCCTTTCTTAAAATGTTATACATTTTTTGGCATCCTCTATATAATACCAAACCTCAAATTATTTAAGAAATGTATTGATATAAAACTTATAAGCAAACAACTTTTTTCACTATACTAGTCCAGAGGAAGACAGTAGACTACAGTTAGCTTTGAAGCTGAACTCTGAAACTTTTCCTTTGGAATAAACAATAAATAAGTACAAATATAAATTAGGAGAATGGCCTTGATAAAGTACTAACTAAACCTTAAAAAATTACATACTAAAGTGAAAGAATAAATCTATATCATGCTTGACCATTACAGTGTATTTTCAATATTCATGTTTGACTTTTGTACTATACTTTTCTACATTTTACAAAGATCTCTCAAGCTGGATTCAGTGTTCCATATATATACTCACTCCCTCAAGAATGGAGATCTGGCCAGTGCATGATAGCACTCAACATCTAAAGCTGCTGCTCTTGAAGAGAAAGCGCCTCACTTGACCAAGTCAGCCCAGCAGCCCTCTGATGGTCTAATGTGGGCCACCACAATTTTTTTTTTTTTTGGAGTCTCACTCTGTTGCTTAGGCTGGCGTGCAATGGCACACTCAGCACACTCACAGCCACCACAGCCTCGACCTGCTGGGCTCAGGTGATCCTTCCGCCTCAGACTTCCAAGAAGCTGGAACTACAGGAACGGCAGGCATCACCACACCCAGATAATTTTTTGATTTACTGTAGAGATGAGGTCTCGCCAAGTTGCCCAGGCGGGTCTCAAACCCGTGGGCTCCGGCAATCCTCTCACCTAGGCTTTCTAAAGGCTGGGATTATAGGTGTGAGCTACCGCGCCCAGTGTTCTGGCTCACTGCCATTTTATTAATACATGATACACACACACATTTCAGACTACCAAATCTTCATCTGCAAAACCTTGAAACTGAAAATATTTTTTCATGGTCCTACACCTAATACCAATAGTTCTTTACCTAAGATGGCTTTCCTAATCAGGGTCAGAGCTAAACCGTGAGTAGTGCCAACAGAGGTTAGTAGCTGGTGAGAAAAACTTGTTTTCATACAGTGCGTTACAAAGTACTGAAAGACAGTAGCTGCATTTTATAAGTTAACAGTCAATTTCAAACATCACGATCTACATAGGAGATGAAAGGCATCACTCAGTACTAGCAGCTGTGGGTGTGGAGGTAATTTTCCTTACTGCCTTCTTGTGTTCTCCAGCAGTTAGTAGGACCACATCTTCTTCTTGGACCTCCATTAATCTGATCAATTCCAATCTTTGCTCCTCTGTTATAAGGTTAGCAACTGGGGAATTCCAGTTTCTATTGGTTTTCAGGAATATAGGCAAAACTTCCTACAATAAAGAAAAAAAATGTATTCTCATGTGTTACAAAAAAGTGGGTTTATTTTCTTATAGTACAAAGATCTCTTGCTCCCTGGAGATGAGAACTTATACGAGATTACCTTTATTCCCTCCCTGAACCCCTTCAAAATGATACTAAAGGAAGTTTAAAAAGCACTTTCACCACAATGAAAAAAAAGGGGAATGAAGGATGGAGAAGAATATTAGCAGATGAGAGTTCTGCAAATTTCTGGCAGATTGCAAGTGACTGAGTAGGAATGATTAAGGAAGCAAGATGCAGGAAGTTCTGGCATAAAGAACAATGGAGCACCCAAGCACAAGAACAGCAGGAGCCTTGCTGCACAACTCAACTAAGCCTAACCACTGGCAACGGGTTATGATCTCCATACCTTCCTTATTACATCCTTATTACAAATCATTACAACCTGACCCTTTTCTCCCATACTAATGCTCTTAGGAAGCAACATTTTAAAAAGGAGCTTTAATATTAATTCTTTAGAGTGTATCAATTTATTTATTCACTCCCACATGATTTCATTTTATTCTTATTATAAGTGGCACTGCGATGAGCATAAAGTCTCCTCATATCTAGGACCCTCTGTTTAAAGTATATTACAGAAAATTACTGACTCAAACAGCGTGACTATTTTTAAAGTTACTGATTTCAAAATGGCTGTGGTGGTTTATACTTCCAGTGCCAATGTGAGAATACCCAGTCCCCACTCCTGCTCCTCCTTCCATTCTACTGTCTACCAAGTCAAGAACACAAAATGTCAAAGGTATATTCAGAATTTTTGTGTGTGATTATTTTAAAGATGTGGGGTACAATTCAGGATTAGGTATATATTCAGAATTTTTAAAAGGGTACAGGAGGAACAATGAGCACAGGCCTTGTTTCACACTTGCCAGGCTTTTATTCAAACCTTGGGCACATGCAGCTCTATTTTCCTAACTGAATTAAAAGACCTTTGTTTATATTGAAAGGCTACAGGTGAATTTTCACATTCTGAGTCACAGTGAATTCAACTAAGTTGAAATCTTAGAGTTATACCCAGGGGTAAGATCAATCTTAAAAACATTTTTTTTTTTTTTTTTTTTTGAGTCAGACCAGGCTAGAGTCCAGTGACACGTTCACAGACACTACCAGCCTCGACCTTCTGGACTCAGGTGATCCTCCAGCCTCAGCCTTTCAAGTAGCTGGAACCACAGGCATGTGCCACCATGCCCAGCTGATTTTTTATTTTACGGTAGAGATGAGGTCTTGCCATGTTGCTCAGGCTGGTCTCGAACCCTTGAGCTCAGATAATCCTCTTGCCGCCACTTCCCAAAGTGCTGGGATTACAGGTGTGAGCTACTGTACCCAGCCAAAAAATAAAATTTAAAAGTGCAAAATGAGGCTGAGTGCAGTGACTCATCCCTGTAATCCTAGCATCTTGGGAGGCGGAGGCGAGAGGATTGCCTGAGCCCAACGGTTCGAGACCAGCCTGGGCAACTTGGTGAGATCTCGTCTACAATAAGTTAAAAAATTAGCTGGGTATGGTGGCACACACCTGTAGTTTCAGCTACTTAGAAGGCTGAGGCAGAAGGGTCGCCTGAACCCAGTAGGTCAAGGCTGTGGTGGCCATGAGTGTGCCACTGCATTACAGGTTGGGCGACAGAGTGAGACTCTGACTCAAAATGAACTAAAATAACAAGACCTTCAAAACTGATGATAATTTAAGAGCGGAAGCAATTGTTAGTTAAAAATACTGAATCCCCATAAGAGAAAAAACTGCTCTAATTAACTTCTTACCTGATTAAAATTGTCAGCTGCAGATTTTCTGATGGACTCAATGTCTTTCCTTTTTAGGTATTTCTGGTGAAGAAAAATCAAAGTTGTCAGTATGACATTTAGCTTCATGAACATGTTTATCAGATGGGATACAAATATATTTTGTGTCTTTCCATTACAATAGTGGGATTTAGCCGGGCTCAGTGGCTCAGCCTGTAATCCCGCGCCTTTGGGAGGCTGAGGTGAGTGAATTGCCTGAGTCCGTGGGTTCGAGACC